GAGCAGACTAAAACCTGTAAAACTCTCAGAGATGGTACTTATCTCTCATTTTATTCCTTACCCCTCATTAACCAGCCCTGTAAGGCACCAGGAGCCTCAGACACAACAGGTAGCAAAGAGTGCTTCAGGATGTAGGTATCATGGCAGCTGCCAGGATAGTGGGCACACACTACCAGGAAGTGGTAACATTGATCAGAGACCACTTGGATATTAATGTAATATATGCCCTCTTATGGCGCAGTAGTAGTTCCCTAACTCTGAACCAGTCTGGGTTCAAGTGCCACTAGTTCCAGAGGTGTGTAATAACATCTCTGATCAAGTTGATTAGAAAAATAGGTTAAATGAAAAAAGATTCCTTCCTGTTGATGAATTGTGCCGCATTGTAATACTGAACTCTCTGTACCATGTATGGGCAGTCAAATGCATGTCCCTGAGACAGCTATATTCCCGAATCCCACTGCCCATTGTAGCACTATCCACAACATGGGGAAATAAAATGCACCAGTCTGACCTTGCACAGGTACCTCCAGTCGCTGTCCTGTTGCATTTGTGGGTGCTTCACTGAGCGATCTCACACAGGTCACCCCTTGATCCCTGGAAGGAGGCAGTTGCATAGAGATTCAAAGTGGCTGTCTTTCATAGCTACTGGGAGAGGACAGCCTCCCACTCCTGCAGCCCTCAGATCTCACTCCAGCATAGTTCCACCACAGGGTCCCAAAACATAAGGAGCCTGCAACTTCATTTCACCTCACCCATTCCCAGGAAGTGGAGTCAAGGTTAAAAAACTCGGGACCTCCTGTGAATTCCTGTGTATCCTGAGGGGCTGTGTGACTGTGATCTCTCCCTGAGCTGGGTGCTCCTCATCCTCCACAGTGGCCTGCTTGCCATCAGCCCTGGGGTCTTCCTGCATCCCCCTTTGCCATCTTAGGAGCAGCCTTAGTGATCTACACCCAACCAGTGGCTGGGTGCATGACTTGCTGGCAATGACTTACTTTGGGAACAGAAGCAGCAAAACAAAATCTTAGCTCTGAGAGCAGTCAGTGGTGCCATAGCCTGCAGGTTTGCACTGCTCGTATTCCTCCAGACAGTGAGATACTCTGCACCCTGATAATGAGGGCCATGTCTCCATCATTCATTCAGCTTCAGTCTCAATTTGGTGGAGCTGCTGCCCCAGCTGCATGTCCAACACATTACATCAAAAATGGCTGCTGTGCGCCAACCCTCTTCCCATCCCAGACCCACATCAATGTCAGATGGTGAAGTGTTCACCTCCACCTCCCATAGCAGCCTTTCATGTTTCACAAGTGATGGGTCAGTTTTGACCAGCATTTGCGTCTTTTTATGTCATTCCTGTTAATGCCTGCATCACTGAGATACCAATGTTCAATTTACGTGAAGCAATGTCATGGAGCAAACTGCCTTTGACCAGCAATTGAAGCCAAATCACATACACTCTGTATGCATTGTAAATGGCCGATGAAATGATTGTAAATTAAAAACAGCTGGGGTGTGTTTCGCGGATTTGCCCCTATGATGTCCTAGGGTCCAGCAGATGTGGATCCCCCATTTTCATCCATCAAACTGACACTGACTTCACCTATTATGATGTTGTTGTCCCAGCCATTTTCCAGTTGCAGTTAGCGTAAATTGAATTGTGAGGATGGTGGAGAATGCAGCTTAAGGTGGGCACTGTCAGTATGAGGTTCCGATTGGTCGTCAGATACCCTAGGTACCAGAACGTCCATGTCCTCTTCTACCTCAATAAGCCATTTCCACACATGTTCCCATCCCCTTCCCCACAACCCCCACTCCATGTGGATACCCAACACATTGAACTTTATCTCTACTGTCCTCCTCGCCCTTGAGCCCTGATTTTGTACCTTAATGGTGCCTACAGTGGTTTCCAGGGTATACCTGTGGAGGCCACAGTAGTGGTCACTGCCAATAACACAACCCCCACCCCATACCCTACCATGCCTTCCAGTGTTATTCTGCCCACTGCTCTTAAACCTTAAGTTTATCCCCATCACTGTCACTCAAATCCACTCTTGACTGCCCCACTCCTTTTGTCGATGAACCGCTGATGCCTCTACAGCGTTCTCTTGCACCATCGTCAACAGCCAATGTACAGGCTCCCCAGGACTGCACCCCACAACCCAACCCCCAGATCTCTCACTGCCTTCAACTAGCAGCACCTAGACATTACTGACCAGGCCCCTGACTGGTATCTTGGAACTCTTCAATTAAAGATAAATGATTCCTCTGAACACTTGTGATGCCACTTCGGGACAGCCCGTTGCCCACTCCCTGGGCTGTAATTGGACATATGTCCCGACTGTGCCCAGGCTGAGTGGATAACTGACCATGGCTAAGCCCTTGGACTGTGTATGGTCTGTGCCTATGAGTGAGTGTACTCCAGTTAAACTGTGCCACCCCTTGATTGCACCAATCTTCACCCACTTTCCAACATGACCATCTGGTTGAATAAACGAGCAGTGTGTTTGCCATGCAGGCGGTTGGCACATGCTATTGGTGTTAGGTTGATATCTTGGTACACTGTACAACAATAAGTTCCATAGTTCCCTCGCCACCTCAAACCTTCCTGGAGAGATGGCAAACATTCCGTGCAAAACAGCTTGTCAATATGACGGTACGGATAGCATCAATACACTAACAGCAATGGCAAGGATACTGTGAGCACGCAGGTAGATGCTAAGTGAGCAGGCAGTAAGAAAGCAAGCAAGCAGCCCTGTGATGTAGCAGTGCATGAGATGAGTGACTGTCCCTGTGCACAAAGTTCCCTGCAGTAGCCTTTGAAAGCTAGTTGCCAGTGTACCCTACAATGTAGCTCTGTATTTCCTCAGTGTCCCGCAAGTGGATCGGAGAGATGTCGTGAAGTGTTGGCTATTAGTAAATGCCAATGTCTGTGGATAAGAGGGGTGTGCAGCTGGTGCCCTTGGATCATACCCTTTTGAATGTGGATACTCAGCAGGTGCCTGCTCTGAATTCCATGCTGAGAAATCTTGGCATCTCATTTGCTTGCAGCAGATAGTAGGATAGGAAACTGCATATTAATGGGTTGGATATGTACAATAATCCCATGTAATAGGCAATTCACTGCCCACCTAGAATCAAATCACCAACACCCAGGTTTAGTTAAAAGGTGCAACATGTTGCTCCCAACTTCAAGATAGGTCTTGCTGGACTTCTTGAGTGGTTCTGCACATTTCCTGCCATAGCCCACATTATTGAGGCCCCCTCAACATTTCGCTATTGTATGTTTGGTACTATTTTCGTAAATTATATCGAGTCTCCCTTAGTAAATATATAGCCGCACGCTCTACTCTTGCACATATTTCTTATGTTCTGACGTGTTTCTTATATTCTGATCTGGACCTCACAATATAACAAAACAACATCATCGACATGATATTGGCGGTTCAGACACACAATGCCAGTGCAAAAAGCAGAGGTCCAGGGAAAAGTTGTCATTCATTGTGTAGCAATATATTACCGACCCACAACTATTCCTGCTTTCTCCTACAGTTTTGTTCGAGACAGAGCTAATGCCAGGTAGCAGCTGCCTCTTTCAATGACTGGTTACAGCCAAAGATTTAATTAGTTTGATAATGGTTTACTTCTTTAAACAGATCGAAATACTAATGGCGAATAACCGGCCGCAGCTCCTAGAGCTCTACCTGCAGCATCCAAGTACATTAACTGCTGCAGCATGCAAATTATGCTGGTTACATATTTGCATCAAAATTATTCTGGGAGAGGGGGAGGGTTAGTATTAGTTTAGTGGGCAGTTGCACGACAACAGTCTGTAATGTCAACTGATACTGTACTTCATTTTTCAATTTGGGGAGAATTATGGCCATTGTCCCGAGAATCCATTTCTGGCTTTGTGCTATACCGACATTACTTTCTTGTTAACAGCAATGTGGAGATGTAATTGTTTCACGCTTATCTCATTTGGTGTTTTTTTTTCGATGACTTGGGTTTTATTTTTAATGATTTCCTTGTTAACTTTTTCACAAAGGATTTTATCTGTTAAATGCCTTTCTTGAGCTGAGGGGCTGGTAAGGGATTTTTTCGACTTTGTCCATGGGGTATGGACATTATTGTCAAGACCAGCATTTGCTGCCCATTCTTGTTTGCCTAAGCATCTGCTTCTTTATATGAGTGGAAAGAAGTTGCAGAGAACATACCAAATTAAGCTATTTGCCAGTTTTCTCTTTTTTTGGACCAGTGCCCATCCTTGTCTGTACTTGGCCGTCAGATTAGGAATTTAGCAGTAGAAAAATAAAATGTCGTAGTAAATGGAGGCATTGATACTGTGCCAAGGCTATGCTCCATGTTACTTTTTATAGGAACCAAAACATATAACGCCTACAACACAGAAAGAGACCATTTGGCCCTTTGAGCCCATGCCCACTGTCTGCAAGAATAATTTAGCTCGTTCCATTCTGTCACACTTCCACTGCAATTCTTTTTTCCCTTCAGGTACTTATCATAATTGCCTCCACTAACTTTTCAAACAGTTTATTCCAATCACTGTATAAAAACACTTTTCTTCACTTTACCTTTGATTTTTTTTTTGGGTAAGTGCCTTGAATCTGTCCCTTTGAATGTTGGCATTTCCATCAACCGAAACAGCATCTCTTCATCTTCTCTCTCATGAGCTGTCAAGATTTTCAACAGGTTTATCGAAACTTTCTTCAACTTTCTGTTTTCTAAGCAGAACAATCCCATTTTCTCCAATCTATCCAAGTAACTGAAGTTCCTCATCCTTGGAGTTGTTCTTGTAAATCCTTTCTGCACATTTATCGAAGACTTCATATCCTTCTGAAAGTCAAAGTTGGACACAATATTCCAGCTGAGGTTTAGTTATTATAAATGTTCATCACCTTGCTTTTGTATTTTATAGATTTATTGATTGAACTGAAGACACCAGTGATTGAATTTAAAAGTATCTTTTCCCATTTTTTCCCTTGTAGACTGGAACTAACTCTTCTCAAACATCAGCTTATGTCCAGATGTCTGGTAAGTACAATTTTTTGCCAAAATACTTCCAAAATACTAAAAACTAAACAAAGGATATTAATAAACTCATATAGATCTTACTTATCAGTTGGACTTGTGGTGTGATTCATGTTAACATGTTAGCAATTTCCCTGTTCTTTATAGGAGAAAGCAATTTGTCCATGCAGTGCATTGTTACTGTCAAGGAAATGCTTATGGAAACAGTCAATTCCTACTGCTTGTCCATGGCAATGCCCTGACCAATCACAGATTATCTGCCTGCTCTGAATTATTCAGCAAAAATTTATGGTTAACAGGTCTTGCTGCATCTCCATATCAAAATTAATCTGCACCCTTGTCTCGTACTGTATAAATTGATGTCCCTTTTTTGTTTGGTTTCTTGTATTCAAATCCCATGTATCGTAGAGTTTTAGAGTCCTACAAAATGGAAAATGGGCCCTTTGACTCATCAATTCTGTGCCAGTAAAAAACAACCACCTAACTATCCTGCTCCTATGATGCTGCTTGGCCTGCTGTGTTCATCTAGCTCTACACCTTGTTATCTCACCTAACTATTCTAATCCTATTTTCCAGCACTTGGCCCATAGCCTTGTGTGCCTTGGCATCGCAAGTGCGCATCAAATACTTCTTAAATGTTATGAGGGTTTCTGCCTCTACCTTTCACTTCATGTTTAATTTTAACATTAAGATCTTACTTCTGTTCTTGCTCTCTTCATAAAGGTGGCTAAATATTCATGCAATTAAATCTATTAAACAGGTACTGTGAGGGAGTGTCATGTAATTAATAATTCTGTATTCATTCAAACCTTATTTGAATACCAATATATTTTTGATTGCTCGGTGTCACTAAATTATGATTGTGTTTAAAAGATGAAGCCTGGTGACACCTCAAAGGGGCTGTGAGGCCACATTAGATTTGGCTCCAGATAATGGATAAGGATGTACACAAAATAGGACTTTTTGTGAATACACTCAAGTGTGGAAAAGGAATAAAACCTTTGCCTAGGTGTTACTGAATGACTGTAAGAGATGCTCAATTGTAAAACAGAAATCTTTCTGATGAGTACCTGTCCTCAGTTACTACTCAATCAGGTTCTAATAAAGCTTGCACCTAAGAAGAGATGAATTGTGAATGTTGGGATTATCATTATTGACATTTGAATTTTTATACAGTATTATTTTCAACTTAAGATAATAATGCAAATAATATGATCAATTCCACTGGAAAGAGAGATCTATGCCTAAAATACTAAGTTATTTTAATTACGAAATAATTTTTCAGTGCATTTAATGCACATTAAAAAAAACACTTGACACATTGTGCTGTAATTTCTCATTATTTGATATGAATACAGACAAATAATTTGTGAAACAATGCTTTCTTCAGTATAACAAAAATTCTTGTTTTTTTTAATAAAAAGGATATCACTGGTTACTATAACAGCACTGAAATGCATTTTTCAAAAATTCCTCAGAGTATCGTTTGAAAAGAATCGTTTCTATATTTCTAAGAATTTCCCTAAATGTTTAATGCTGGTCAATCAATATGCCTGGAGCGAAGACCTCACATTGAATTGGTGCAGATTTAACAATAAAACCTTTTCCATAATATGGAGATGTCGGTGTTGGACTGGGGTAGAAAAAGTCAGAAGTCACCCAAGAGCAGGTTACAGTCCAAAAGGTTCATTTAAAATCATCAGCTTTCAGAGCACTGCTCCTTTGTCAGGTGACCAAGGAGCAACGTTCCAAAAGCTTGTGATTTTAAATAAACCTGTTGGACAATAACCTGATGTCGTGTGACTTCTGACATTTTCCATAAAAGTTAGCAGATGCTCTGAGGTGATTCTTTTTAAAAACTTTTAATACAAAAGAGGACAATGTCTCTGGGGAGAAATCAATACACAACCAATCAATTTATTTGGATATTTTTCTCAGGAAGACAGATTAGGAACAGCATTGTTAGAGGTTTGGAATAAGATTACTTGCACAATCTCATATTCAGAGAATGATCTCTGCTGCAGAATGTGTTTAAGGCGTAAGAGATGTCTAACCTGGATGCTGTAGGCAGGGAAGACAGATAACAAAACCTGGTGAACAGTAACAGCACAGAATGAGGCCATGCCAGAGACTAATTTCCGTGGGGGTGCTGTACTGTGGGATTAAAATTATTACATGCTGACTCAGTCTCTGTCAGGAGTAAAATGGGTGCCAAGCAGACTAACTTGAAAATGGGGCAGATTGTATCTGATTTGCCCAGGCATTTGTTCCACTGCCTGTTTTGTGGGGTCCCTGCAACTAAGACCCTTGAATATAAACCATAAGAAATAGGAGCAGGAGTCGATGTTTCAGTTGTTTGAGCTGTTCCACCCATTAATAAGATCTTGGTCACACTTTTACAGCAACTGCACATTCCGGCCCGATACCCAGAGTCCTTGATTCCCTTAATGTGCAAAATTCTCTTGATCGTGGTTTTGAATATATTCAAAGATCAGTAACAGCCTCTTGGTTGGAGAATGACAAAGATTCACAGCCCTCTGAGCGAAGAACTATCATCACATCTCATATGCCATAAGGTTGTAGCGAAAATTTGTAACTCGGGATGTGGATGCAGTTGTTTGTTAGCTCGTCGAGCCGGTTGTTCTGTGGTGTGCTGACGTTTCATTACCTTTCTAGGCAACATCATCAGTGTGGCCTCTAATCGAAGCGTTGGTGTTCTGCTTACTTCTGGATTTATATGATCCTCTGGTGTGATGACCTTGTCACTCCTGGTTCTGTTGTTTTAGCAGCAGTCTGCGTACAGGATCTATTTCTGTGTGTTTGTTAATGAAGTCCTGTGTTGAGAACCAGGCTTCCAGAAATTCCCTTGCATGTCTGGTGTTTGCTTGTCCCAGTCAAACTGATGGCCCTCATTGTCTGTGTGTAATGAGACAAGTGAATATTGGTCATGTCTCAAAAATGTATCAGAAATGACTACCAGACTCCTAAGACCACATAAGGTCATGATTGCACATAAACTTACAGCAACACTGTGCCAAACGTTATCAAAGACTAAAGACCTCATACCGACAGTAAACAAGACCAAAGTGATATACGGAATACCATGCAGTGAGTGCAATAAACATTACATTGGACAAAAAGGGAGGAAGCTGATGACCAGGGTGCATGAACACCAGCTGGCAGTAAAAAGACACGACCAATATTCACTTGTCTCAATACACACAGACAATGAGGGCCATCATTTCGACTGAGACAAAGTGACCATACTGGGACAAGCGAGCACCAGACATGCAAGGAAATTTCTGGAAGCCTGGTTCTCAACATGGGACTCCATTAACAAACACATAGAAATAGACCCAATATACAGACATACTAGGAACTGTATGCAGATGCTGGAGAATCTGAGATAACAAGGTGTAGAGCTGGATGAACACAGCAGGCCAAGCAGCATCAGAGGACCAGGAAAGCTGACGTTTCGGGTCTGGACCCTTCTTCAGAAAAATTTTTT